GCATCAAAAAGTCAAATAACTACAGTGCAATATGATATCATACTGTACAGGCATGAGCAAAATATTTTAGTAGCCACTGACTGTCTAGAGGAATGGTAGAAAGGATTCACAGAGGAAGTGATGCCTGAGCTGGAACTTGAAGCAAAACAGACAACACTCCCAGGGAAATGCAGCAAATTGTGTTCCTATTTTAGTGAAGGGAAAATTAAAATGCATAAGAGACAATAATGTTACCTACTAGAGTCTCATAGTGACAAGGCAAAACCACAGTACAGTTAAGTAACTAGAGTGCCTATTTATAGACTTATAGCACCTAATGACATGATCCCTGTGAATTTTAAATACTCAAAAACAAAGCAAAACAGAAAGCAACTTTAAATATTTGCCTGATTCCATACAAAAATCTTTCCTAGGATACTCAACTCCTCTAAAAAGATCCTTACACTTAAAATTTTATGAAAAGGAGTTAAAAAGACCAATTACATTTATGTCAAATTGGACAAAATCCCTGATTTTACATGAATCTATTATTTCAGTAAAATTCTACTAACTTAGTAAATTTCCACTTAATTTACTAATTTGATGTCAAGTGCCATCGAGTTGGTCCCAACTCACAGGGACCCTGTATAGGGTTTCTGAGGAACAGCTCTTAGATTTGAACCACCAACCTTATAGTTAAACAGTCCAGGTGCTAAGACTACATATTTTAACCTAGAAATTTTTCTTAATTTTTCACTCTGTGAAGGAGAGGCATCCTGAACAATAAAACTAGTATCCAAAAAAATTTTTAAGAGTAAAAGGAAAAAGCAAGCACTCCAACATGGATTTGCATGAAAACAAATATCTCCTCTCTATAAGTCATTTCTAAAGTTAGAATGCTCTAACTCCCAAACTTAATGACAAGCTCGTTCATACAGGACTCCCTGAAGTCTCTTACAGACACTAAGAGTGTAGACAACTCCTATTGCTGCCAATTTAAGAAAGAAATGTATTCTTAAATTGTAAAGGTGTATAAGGGGCGAGGAAGAACTGCTGTTTTATGCACAGTTCCTTTTCCTGAATTTATTATGAGTTTGTTTCCCCCCTTTCAAAAGGCAGTAAAAAGAAGGGCATGAAGGCACAAAAAGGGATCTTACTCATGCAATTTTGGCATTATAGGAACCTCCTGAGTACAGAAGAGTTGATGCATTTACAAAAGAGAACTCCTAAATCACTGCATGGCACAACTACTGCTTCCTTTAGACTTTTCAGGAAATGTTCTTCAAATATTTCTCACAAACTCCACAGGGCTTTCTACATTAAGATGTAGCAACAGAGGGCAAGCCTGGAATAACGGCAAAATTGCAGTAATGAGTCCTGCTAGTTCCAAATGACTTTTTATGCTCCAAGTCATGGGACCAGTCAGTTTCACAGTGATAGACATACACATGTGGATGATCTGAGGCACAAGCTGTGATTGGTCCTAAGAAAATGAAAGTCACAACTGGGTTCACAACCCACATCTCCAGACTTCTGGTTCTTATTCAATCATGGTTGAGCTGCTTCTTATCGGTATTACACATAATTTGGACCTTTCTGGAGAGTTCCTCCAGGTGCAGCATGGTTTGTTACAAGGTATTCGTGGTATTGGCACCATGCTCATAGTAAGCTTTCCATCACGCCGTATATGAGGTCCTGCTGCCAAAGCGAGGACTATGGACCTAAGATGCCCACTAGAGTTCAGTTTTCAAAACTTTGGGGATAATCTGATCATAGCCTTTCCGTCTTGTTACATTATAAGACAGGAATTTAGAGTACTCCGTCAACAGGTTCTCCCAGTAACAGGTGATGTCTTCCATCTGCAAGTGGTCGACAATAAACTGGTTTCCCCTAGAAACAAGGTAAACATGAACATTTTAAGATAATATTTAATTAATAATAAAAGCCTGAGTTTGAGTGCTTACCTTGTGTCAATCAGTGACATAAATCAACTCATCTGCTCCTCACAATCCACCCTATAGCCGTCATTATTTACATACATGCATTTAGCAATAAAGCATTTTTCCCCTTAAAAAGAAACAGAGTCAACACCAGAAAAAGTTGTTTAATTTTCTCATATATTTCAATGTACTTTGATAAAGGGTAGACTTAGGGCATATTTGAATGTGTGCATACATTTTTCCTCCAGAAGAGCTTCTTTGTCTAAAGAGGATGAAATCTGAATATTACTATGGTAACAATATTCAGATAACTTCAACTAAGGTAAAGTAACGGATGATATAGTGGAAAAGAAGGAACAGAACTTACCTTTCAGCAATTTCTTGAGCTACATCATCATTTGCCTTTACAAATTGCAACAGTTCCCTAAAATGGAAAGAATTATGAGACTCTGGAATATGGGCCTGCTCATTAATACTAAATCAGAAAGACCTCAGATTGAAGTCTATGGTTAATCTCTAGACATGCTCATGGTGGATTACTTCATTTCAGCAAAGATATCAGGGCCCTCACAGGGCCAAAATAACAGCCAAGAGTGCCCCACGCCAGCTGAAAGCAACCTGTTATAGATTTGAGACACATGAGAGGATCTAGAGATGTTCAAGGATACACATAAAAAGTGAATACTGAAGAAAAAAATTCCCCTCCTCTCTCCAATTCCTGCAGTGGCTACATAAGAGGGAACTTGGGTTCCCATGTCTAGCCTTTCTCCATACCTCTTCCTGAATCCTCTCATCATGAGAGGAAATGTGCTCAACTTCACTGTGATCAGTGCTCCTGCTAGATCTGAAAGCCTGCCTGACAAAATAACAACATCAAACACACCTGTTGACTTTTTTGCATGAGAGCACTTTTTCACTGACACACTGTCTGAACATCACATTTGGTACAATCGTTGAACACTTTTTCAAATAAAATCCCACCTTGAGCCTACTTGAATAATAATGTAATGTTACATATTTGAATCAAAAAAGGAAAAAAGGCTTCCAATAAACACAATCATCAGGAGTAGAGGACGTAAGTGGACAGGGACATAGTAGCATGGGGTAGAGTTGCTTACTGCACGTTTGAGAGATCGGTTTTGACTGGGATGTAGTGAACCCATGGCTTCAGTTGTGGGTAGAAGAATTCCAACCACTCTTCACCAACATGGAAAACAAGTGAACCACACAGGAAGAGGTGTTTGAACCGGAAGCTTGCAGCTACACCCCGAAAATTAAACAGATACCTGGGAAAGAAAGAACAAAATGTACTTGCAATATATGCCTGCTGCCACAGGTATGACCTTTTTCATCCCCCCCTCCCTACTCTTTTATACCTCCCTCTCTTCTCTTTCCATTTTCATCCTTCAAGGACACATCAGTATGCCCCTTTGGGGTTTCTATAAAATCCTTAGTATTCTAAGCTGGGGCTACAGGTTGTTCCTGAAAAGGAAAGTCAGAGAAATGGGAAAAGAGAGGAACATTCTCCAGGCAGAGAGGATGAGCTCAGGCAGGAGCTTGGTGCTGGATAGAAAAGACACAAGGCTCAGGTAGGTCTCATTTTCCACAAACTCTTATAGGCTGATGAACTGCAACTAGTCATGGCCACCCAAAGCTTTGCTTTTCAGGTCAAAGGCATCTCCTGATCCCTGGTCATCTCCACTTCTCCTAAGGCCATACACATGTAACCAGTCTTCAAAGAAATGCCCTCCTAAATAAAACCTATCTTAGAAAAGAACAACATTTTCTTCTTAGAACTTGAGTTACATGCACTCAATCTTGTCTCCATTCAGACTCACCTTTACCCTATGTACCTCCTACTGTTCAGGGTAATCAGCATTCATCTCTCTAAATTCCCCCACTGACCACCTACTGATCTGGCTTTACCGCTTCGCTTCATCAAATTCTTAGTCCTGCTATTTAATTAAAATATTTTAATTATATATACCACCTCTCATCTACCAGTTTGTTGCACTGTGGTGGCTTGTGGTTTGCTGTGATTCTGAAAGCTATGCCACCAGTATTTTGAATGCCAGCAGGGTCATCTATGGTGGGCAAGTTTCATATGAACTTCCAGAGTAGGAAGGAGAGCTGGACTACTTCTGAATGTTTAGTCACTGAAAACCTTATGAATAACAGTAAAACACTGTTATTCATAACACCAGAATAATGGCTATTGAAACAAGATGAATAGCAACAGACTATTGTCAGATACAGTGCCAAAAGATGAGCCACTCAGGTTGGCAGGTACTCAAAATACAACTGGGAAAGAGCTGTCTACTCAAAGTAGACTCGACCATGATGACATGAATGGAGTAAAGCTTTCAGGATGTTCATCTACTGATGGAGCACAGGGCAAAAATGAAAAACCGCTGCAAATACCCATTAATCATTGGAATATGGAATGTACAAAGTACGAATCTAGGATCATTGGAAGTTGTCAAAAATGAAATGGAATGCATAAATATCGAAATCCGAGGCATTAGTGAGCTGAAGTGGATTGGTATAGACCATTTTGATTCTGACAATCATTCGGTTTACTGAGCCAGAAATGACAAATTGAAGACAAATGGCATTGCAATCATCAAAAGAACATTTCAAGATCTACCTTGAAGTATAATGCTGTGAGAGGATAATATTCATATGCCTACAAGGAAGATCAGTTAATTAAACCACTATTACTCAAATTTATGCATCAACTTCTAAACCAATGATGAGATATTGAAGAATCCTATCAACTTCTTCAGTCTGAAATTGACCAAATATGCATTCAAAATGCACTGATAAATTCTGGTTATTGGAAATACAAAGGTTGGAAACAAAGAAGGATGAGTAGTTGGAAAATACAGGCTTGGTGATAGAAACAATGCTGGAGATCGCACAATAGACTTTTGCAAGACCAATGACTTCTACATTGCAAATACCTTTTTCAAACAACATAAAAGACCATTATACACCTGGATTTCAACAGATGGAATACACAGAATTCAAACTGGCTATGTCTGTGGAAAGAAATGGTGGAAAAGCTCCATATAATCAACCAAAACAAGGCCAGGGGCAGACTATGGAACAGCCCATCTACTGTTTATATGCAAGTTCAGGCTGAAGCTGAAGAAAATTAAAACAAGTACACAAGATCCAAAATATGACCCTGGACATGTCCCACTTGAATTTAAAGATCATCTCAAGAACAGATTTGATGCATTAGATACTGAGGAAAAACCAGAAGAGTTGTGGGATGACATCAAGAACATCATTCAGGAAGAAAGCAAAAGGTCATAAAGAAAATACCAAAATGGATGTCAGAAGCAACTCTGAAACTTGCTCTCCAGCGTAGAGATACTAAAGTAAATGGAAGAAATGAGGAGGTAAAAAGAGGAAGAGAAAAATTCAAAGGACAGCTTGGGAAGACAATCCAATATTATAATGAAATATGCAAAGATCTGGAGTTAGAAAGCCAAAAGGGAAGAACATGCTCAGCATTTCTTAAGCTGAGGGAACTGTGGTAAAAATTCAAGCCTCAATTTGTAATACTGAAAGATTCTTTGGGGAAAATATTGACTGATGCAGAAAACTTCAAAAGACGACGGAAGGAATATACAGTCACTGTACCCAAAAGAAATGGGCAATGTTCAATCATTTCAACAGGTAGCAGCATATGATCAAGAGCCAATGATACTAAAGGAAGAGATTCAAGGTACACTGAAAGCACTGGTAAAGAACAAGCCTTCAGGAACTGATGGACTACAAATTGAAATCTTTCAACAAACTGATACAGCACTGGAGGCACTCCTTCATCTGTGTCAAGAAATTTGGAAGACAGCTACATGGCCAACTGATTGGAAGAGATCCACAATTATGCCCATTCCAAAGAAACATGACCAGTGGAATACAGAAATCATTGGATAATACCATTAATAGCTCATACAAATAAACGTTTGCAGAAGATAATGAAAAACCAGATGCAACTGTACACCAACAGGGAGGAGCTGCCAGAGGTTCAAGCGGGATTCAGAAGAGGACATGGAACGAGGGATATCACTGCTGATGTAAGATGGATCTTGGCCGAAAGCCGAGAAACCAGAAAGATGTCTTCCTGTGCTTTACTGACTATGCAAAGATTTTCAACTGTGTTGATCATGGCAAGCTTTTGACAACATGGCAGAGAATGAGTATTCCAGTACACTTCATTGTGATCATGAGGAACTGTACATAGACCAAGAGACAGTCATTCAAACAGAACAACAGGACACTGGTTTAAAATCAGGAAAGGTGTATGCCAGTGTTGTATTCTTTCACCATACTTATTCAATCTGTACGCTGAGCAAATAGTCCGAAGAGCTGGATTATATGAAAAAGACCGTAACATCTCTTCCTGATAAAAGCACTCATCAAAATTGGAGTAGAAAGGAAATTCCTCAGTATAATTAAGGGCATATATACAAATCTAGTCAACTTTATTCTCAATGGAGAGAAACTGAAAGCATTGCCTTAGTGGTCAGGAACCAGACAAAGATACCCTTTTAAACTATATCTATACAATATTGTGCTAGAAGTCTTAGCCAGAGCTATAAAGCAAAAAAGGCATCCAATTTGGCAAGTTAGTAATAAAATTCTATTTGAAGATTACATGATCCTATACATAGAAAATCCCAAAGACTTAGCAGGAAATGTACAGGATTCTGAAAGTTTCAGCAAAGAAATGTATTCATTGACAGTTTCAACAAAGTTGGCATGGGACAAGATGAACATACAAAAAGCAGTCGTATCCTTTACACTAGCAAAGACAGCTCTGAAAAGGAAGTCAGGAAAACAATACCATTTAAAATAGCTACCTGAAAGATAAAATATTTAGGTATAAATCTAACCAGAGAAACAAAAGACCTATACAAAGAAAACTACAAAACACTACTATAAGAAACCAACAGAGACCTACAAAAATGAAAGAACATGTGTCATGGATAGGAAGCCTTACATTGTAAAAATGCCAACACTATCCAAAGCAATCTATAAATATAATCCTAATACAGGTTCCAGCATAACTCTTTAAAGAGATGGAAAAATGGATCACTGACTTTACATGAAAAGAAGAGAGACCTTCGGTAAGCAAAGTAATACTTCAAAAGTAGAACAAAGTTGGAGGTCTCTCACTTCCTGATCTTAAAATCTACTACAAGCCACAGTGATTAGAAGTCTGGTACTGGTATAAGGAAAGATACATAGACCAATGGAATAGAATTAAGAATGCAGAAATAAATCTGTCTTCCTACGGTCAGCTAAAATGACTAAAACAAATCAAATGGGGAAGAGATAGTCTCTTCATAAATTGTGCTGGCAAAACTGGAAATCCATTTGCAGAAAAAATAAGACTCATATCTCACACCATATACAAAAACAAACTAAACATGGATTAAAAACCTAAATGTAAAACCTAGAACTATAAAGATCAATGAAAGAGCAGGAAGAAACTTAGGGGCTCTGATACATGGCATACATATACTATCAAACATAACACACAAACTGTGGAAGACAAAAAGGATGACTGGGGCCTCCTAAAAATTAGAAACCTATGTGTGTCAAAAGATTTCACCAAGAGAGTGAAAAGAGAACCCAGAGACTGGGAAACTCTTTTTTGCAATGACATAAGGGAGTAATCTCTAAAATTTATAGAACACTACAACTCTATTACAAAAAGATAAATTACCCAATTATAAAATGCGCAGAACAGTCACTTTACCAAAGAAGACATTCAGGCGGCCAGTAAACATAAAGAACCATTGACGATCATTAGCCATTCTTGTTGTTGTTAAGTACCATCAAGTCGGTTCCAACTCATAGCGACCCTGTATAGGGTTACCAAGGAGCAGCTGGTGAGCTTGAACTGCCGACATTGCAGTGACCTTGCAGTCCAGCGCATTAACACACAGTGCTGCACCAGGACTTATTAGTCATTAGAGAGATGTAAATTAAAACAACAATGAAATACCATTTCACTACAGCATTAACAGTTTAAGTTAAAAAAACTTTTTTAGATGAGGGTATGAGAAACTGGGGTGCACCTACATTACTGGTGGGATTGTAAAATGGTGCAACTACTGTGAAAAATGCTATGGCACTTCCTCAAAAGTTGGAAATAGCAATAGCATATGACCTAATAATCTCTGTACTTGGTATATATCCTCAAGAAGTAAGAGCCCCAACACAAGTAGACATATGCACGCTATGTTCATTGCAGCGCTAGTCACAAAGCAAAAAGATGGAGACAACCTAAACGCCCGTTAAAGGAAGAATAAACAAACTTTGGTACATATACACAATGGAATACTATACAATAGAATACGATACTATGAAGAATAATGATTAATCTGTGAAACACCTCATAACATGGATGAACCTTAAAGACATTATGCTGAGTGAAATTGTTGTTATTGTTGCTAAGTGCCATCAAGTCGGTTCCGACTCATAGCGACCCTGCGTAGGGTTTCCAAGGAGCAGCTGATGAGTTTGAACAAAAACCTTGTAGTTCAACCTAACCTTGCGGTCCAGTGTATTCTCCATGCCAGGACTCCTAAGTAAAATTAGTCAATCACAAAAGCGTATGTATTATATAAGACCACAAACGTAAAAACTAAAAAAAAAAAAAAAAAAGTTTCCCATGCTAAAAGAAACATTCATTGATGGTTACAAGGGGTGGGAGGGAAGGGAGAGTAATTCACTGGCTAGAGGATAGACATATATTTACTCAGGTGACAAGGATGGCAATATATAACAAGAAGGAGGTTGGCAGAAGAATGATGAAAACAGGTGAAGATATAACTTGTTCAATGTAAAATTGATAATCTGCAGTATAAACCTACATTTAATTCACAATAAAAAGTTTAAAGACAACATACCTGAAGAAAGCAAATGGTCATTAAAAAGAAAAGAAAGAAAATACAAAAATGGATGTCAGAAGAGACTGAAAATTGTTCTTGAACATAGAGACACTACAGTGTCTGGAAGGAATGAGGAAGTAAAAATGCTGAACAAAAAATTTCAAAAGGCAGTTGAACCATAGCTTGTCATGATCCACATAATCGAAAACCTTTGTGTGGTCTTTAATTGTTGTAATTGTTATCATGACTAACTGCGATTGTCACAACCATAAAGGAAGAAGTTTTGTAACAAAAAGGGTAGAGTAGTTAATGTTACAGTCCAGGAACAGAGGACCCCAGGATCATCAAACAAGAACATGAGTAGAATGTGGGACCCTATCCAGAAAAGCAGCAATACCAGAAATGAAAGCAGAGATGATGACATGGAAAGACAGAGCAGCCGAGGACTCCAGACCCATGGAAAGAGAAAGGCTGTGTGTTGGCAGCCAGGAGGCAGGCTTGCAGAATGTGCCCTTTGGTTGGTTGTTTAACTGATTATATATTCCTGAGTGTTTGTGTGTATATATAAAAAAACAACAGTGGGAATAGAAACTGTTGAATGATGATGCATGGAAGGGATTTGTACTCATTGCAATGAAACGGAATATGACAGAATGAGTATAAAACTATCTCTCAATTCACAATAAGAACTTAAAAAAAAAGCAGCTTAAGACAAAATCAAGTATTATAATTAAATGTGCAAAGACCTGGAATTAGAAAACCAAAGGGAGAAAACACACTCAGCATTTCTTAAGCTGAAAGAACTGGAAAAAAAAATCCAATACTCGAGCTGCAATACTGAATTCTATGAGCAAAATATTGAATGACACAGAAAGCATCAAAAGAAGACAGAATGAACAGAGTCACTGTACCAAATAATAACTGGTTGATGTTCAATAATTTCAAGATCAAGAAGCATTGATATTGAAGAAAGAAGTCCAACCTGTACTGAAGACAATGGTGAAAACAAGGCTCCAGGAATTGATGGGATACAAATTGAAATGTTTCAACCAACTGATGCAGTACTGGAGATTCTCATTCATATGTATCAAGAAATTTGAAAGACAGCTACCTGACCAACCAATTGGAAGAGATCCATATTTGTGCCCATTCCAAAGAAAGATGATCCTATGGAATGTGTAAATCATTCAATGTAATCATTATTATCACATACAAGTAAAATTTTACTGAAGGTAATTAAAAAACAGTTGTAGCAGTACATCAACAGGGAGCTGCTAGAAATTCAAGTTGGATTCAAAACAGGACATGAAACTAGGGTTATCATTGCTGACATAAAATGAACCTTGGCTGAAAGCAGATAGTACCAGAAAGTTTACTTGTGCTTTACTGACAATGCAAAAGCATTCAACTGTGTGGACCATAAAAAATACGGATAATATTGCAAAGAATGGGTATTCCAGAATATGTAATTATTATCATGAGGAACCTGTATATAGACCAAGAAGCAGTTGTTAGAATGGAACAAGGTGACACCGAAAAGTTTAAAGTCGGGAAATGTATGCACTAAGGTTGTATCTTTAAAGCATACTTATTCAATCTGAATGCTGAGCAAATAATCCAAGAAGCTGCATTGCACGAAGAAAAATGTGACATCATGATTGGAGGAGGATTCATTAAAAACTTGCAATACATAGATGATACAACATTGCTGGCTGGAAATGAAGACGACTTGAAATACTTACTGATGAAGATCAAAAACTACAGCCTTCAAAAGGATTGAACCTCAATATAAGTAAAATAAAAATCCTCACAACTGGACCAATAGACAATACCATGATAAACAGAGAAATTTTGCTTGGATCCACAATCAATGCGCACGGAAGCAATAGTCAAGAAATCAAATGACATACTGCATTAGGCAAATCTGCTGCAAAAGACCTCTTTAAAGTGTTCAAGGACAAAGATGTCCGTTTGAGGACTAAGGTGCATCTGACACAAGTCAAGGTATTTTTCAATGGTCTTATATGCATGTAAAAGTTGGACAATGAATAAGGAAGGCAGAAGAATCAAAGCATTTGAATTATGGTGTTAGAAAAGAATACTGAAAGTACCATGGATAGCCAGAAAAATAAACACATCTGCTTTGGAAGCAGTGCAGCCAGAATTTTCCTTACTAATGAGGATGGTGAGACTTTTGATTTGGATATGTTGTTAGGAGGAACCAGTTCCTAAAGAAGGACGTCACATATGGAAAAGTGGAAGGTCAGGGAAAAAGAAGACCCCTAATGAGATGGATTGACACAGCGGCAGCAACAATGGCCTCAAACACTGTGAGGATGGCGCAGGACCAGGAGTGTTTGGTTCTAGTTTGCATAGGGTTGCTATGAGTTAGAATGGACTGGAGCACAAAACAATAGCATTCATGGTGAGCCATTAACCTTATAAAACGTCAACTAGAAGGTAGATGGAATATCTTATGATGCAATCCAATCCCATCATTTTATTAGCATGCAAGCTCTCAGGAAGCACAGGCCTTGTTTCATTTATCTCTGTAGTTCCCACAGAACTCAGGTGTGAGTATCACGTACAGTAAGTTCTCAGTAAATAATAGCTAAATGAATTAAAGTGACTTTCCTAAACCCAGCTTGGCCCAGCATTAAAGTTCTCATCCAAAGTGAAGCTAATTTAAAAGCAATATGGAAATTAAGAGTGTCAGGAATCCTGGAAGCCTTACTTGTATTTGCAGTGTTCCACAAGATGGACATCCTTAGCAGCTGGCTTTCCCAAGGTATCCTTTATGTGAAAAGGAAATTATTAGCATTAGGAATAATAGCAGTTACTGAAGGTCACGGTGCCTCAAGCATTGTGTTAGACATTTCATGAGCATTACTTATTTAGTTCATAGTAACCATACTCGGGAAGCATTACTATCCCCATTTTACAGATGAGGAAGTCAAGGCTTCAAGAAGTTGGGCGACTTGCCCAGGGCCATATGACCTCAAGGTAGGGTTCTGACCTGGGTCTATCTGATTTTAAAGATGATGGTTCCCTGAAGCTATCTGATACCCCCACCCCCACCGCCACCCAAGAGTCATGACATACAGCACATTTCATTCTCTGTCAGTTATTTACACAGGAGGTCACAAGTGGTGGCTGGTGGCTTAGAGGCTTAGCCTATGTACAAATGTTGTTGAGCAGGCAATGTACTTAACAGTAAGTGTTCAAACCACTGCCAACAGCAGTAGGATATCTCTGACTAAAAGGAGATTTCTAATTTTCTTTCAAAAATGGAAGATATGACAAACTGGGCTCCTATTCCCACTTGGCAGGAATCTACTGGTATACTCAACACTCTCAGGAGATCTCTGCTCATGACTTTCTAGCACCTGCCAGTCCCTAGTTGCACCTGAACTTGAGATCTCGTTAACATTTCATCCATCCACCTAATTAGAAGGTAAACTCCTTGTTGAGGGAAACAAGGCTTTTAAAAAATGAATTCCATAAATTTGGGTGCCTTTGCAGCCTCCAGAAGTAAATGCCACAACTTGTTTGTTGAATGAATATATTTTGTTCATATTTTATGTATTTATATTTTCACCAGAATACGAGATTTTCGTATTTTTTCACATTTTCATTAAACTATTTTCATGATATTTCTTTAGCTTAATTTGCAAGTTTACTTAAAGCTGTATCATATTATGCATACATCTCAGATATATTTAGTTTTCCCCCTTAAAAAATGTATAGTTTTTTTCTCATAGCATCCTTAATATGGTACATGGAAATTTCAGATGAGGAAATTTAGGGTTTAAGGTTCTTTGAACTAGAGCAAGAAGTCTTAGAGTTAAGAGGACTGAGATGGACTCTAAACCAAAGGTCCTCATTTATGGCTTCACTTTACAATCATTTGGGGAGCTTTAAGTAAACGAAGATACCTGGGCCCCATTTCCAGAGATTATGATTCATTCATTTAATTCATTTATCTTAAGTGGTTGTACTGTGCAGCGAAGATTGAGAAGGAAGGGTTTAAACCAGAGGTTGGTAAAATCTAATCCTCTTTTTAATTTTGTATAACCCATGAGCTAAGAATATCTTTACATTTTTAAAAAGTTTGAAAGAAAATGAAACGAGGAATATGTTATGACGTGAAAATTATAAAAAATTCTAATTTAAGTGCCCCAAAATGAAATGTTGGCAGAACATAGTGATGCCTGTTTGTTTATTTGCCTCTGACTGTTTGCACATTATGGTGGCAGAGTTGAATAACTATAAAACCCAAAAATCTTCAAATATTTACTACCTCTAGATGGCCATTCAAAGATAAATGTTTTCTGACATCTGGTTTAAATCTTCAAAGTCGTATAATATTCAGTCATAATATCGGCCGCAAAAGCAATGTGAGTTTGAAAAAGAACTTATATGTGTGCTAAAACTGATCCATGAAACTTTCTCAAAAATTGATCCCACCACTGAAGGAAAACCTAATACGAAATTCTACCAAGGTGGCAATGTTCTTTGACTGAAAATATTCACAACTGTAGTTCTATTCAGATGACTGGAGATTACTTTCATAGATTTCCAGGCCTGGTTTTTGGTATATTCTGCATCAACAAGTTTTGGATTTTTCCGAGATAGAAGAATGAGAGGATCTCGTTCTGGACTTGTCCTATAAAAGAAACACATGACGTAAAACTATGTGGTCTACACCAACCAAAATACTATTCCCAATCTTTGAAAAGTGAGCAGTACTAGGACCCAAAGCAATGACAGTGCACACAGATGGACCATTTACTGTACTGGTTACATGATAGTAGATGAGGATGATCCTGGGAGCTGCAGCACCTGGATGGTCTTGTGCTGTTCCCCACTTTACCTTTCAGGGAGTGTTTGCCCTTTACTTTCATCTTGTCTGTAAGTGTACGTTGTTCTGGTCACTACAATCAGGGAGTAATTTCCCCTTTAGGAAGATTCATGTAGTCTGTCAAATCACTGACTCACCAAAGTAGCTCCATGATCTTTGTTGTATATTTTACACATTACTTGGAAGAATATTTTTATAAATATTCTTTGTAAAATGTAAGAAAACATAATCACCTTGATCCTCGGAAGTACGCTGTAGAATTTTTCTTTTTCCATGGCCACTGTGCTGCTGACCTAAAAAGATAGATCTTAGTTAGTTTCTATATTTTGTGGTTGCTGTTGTTAAATATATATTTTTGTTGTTGTTAAGTGCCGTCGAGTCGGTTTCAATTCATAGTGACCCTGTATAGGATTTCCGAGGAGCACCTGGTAAACTTGAACCACTGGCATCGTGGTTCAAACTAACCTTGCAGTCCAGTGCATAAACCAGCAGCACCACACCAAGACTCAGGTGTTTAATATAGTAAATATAGAGGTTGTGTTTAAACTATTTCTGAAGTTCAGTCCAGAGTTTTACATTTATAAACTCGGGTGAAGGCAACTTTTCTACTCAAAAGAAATAGCTCTAAATGACGTTTCCTTTTTTAAAATTTTTACTTTGTTGTTGAGACTACATACAGCAAAACATACACCAATTCAACAGTTTTCCTTGTTCAGTTCAGTGACACTGATTACATTCTTTGAGATGGGAAATCAATCTCACCCTCCTTTTCTGACTTGTTTTTTCCCCATCAACATAAATTCACTGCCCCCTAAAGATCCTATCTAATCTATTGAGACGCTGCTGTCAATTTGATTCCATATAGATAGTTCATAAAACAGCTTAATGATTAAACCAGACCTTTTGTACTAGCTAACCTACTACCATTGAATCACTTCTGATTCACAGCAACCCTACAGGGCAGAATAGAATCATTACAAGAGCAGATAGCACCATCGGTCTCCAGTGTAACTAGCTAAGCTAAACTTCCATTTGGTTTTAAGAAAACTTCTAGGGATATTTTTTGTTTAATATATAAAGATTATCTCAGTGCAATAGTTGTTGTTTTTTTAAATTTTTTTATTGTGAACTGAGTGAAGCTTTACAGATAAAATCATCAGTTTTACACTCAACATGTCATACACTTTGTTTCTTCTCAATGACTGCAATCCCCTCCATGCAACAACAGTTGTTCTACTTCCTCCCTCTGCTTCCTATTTCTGTTCCACCCTCCTTCTCAACCCTGTCCTTAGGTAAATGTTGCCCTTTTGATTTTGAATGTTTGACCATTCCATGTTGAATGACTGACCATTCCATGGTGAGCACACCTGACTAGTGTTGTTGTCCTCTCTCTATATGTATCTACTGCTTGGATGAAAATTGGGCCAAGAAGGTGAGTTCCTTTCCAGACCTGATGAGTAATCGAGGGTCATAGTCTCGGGTTCTTCCAGTATCTTTCTGAACATTAAGATGGTCTTTTTTTATCTATAATTTTTAGTTTAGCCCACATTTTCTCCCACTTTTTCTGGGAACTTCTAATGTAATCCCTTTCAGAAAAGTCACTAGTGGTAGCTGGGTGCCACCTAGTTCTTCTGGTCTAGGAGTCATGGTGATTGATGTTCACATGCTCTGTTGGTCCACTGGACTAGTTGACGCAAGCATCTTCAATTTTCATCACGCCTCTGTCTTCCACACAGGGAGAGACCAATAGCTGTAACTTAGAAGGACGCATACAAGTTTTGAAGATCCCAGTTGCTACTCACCAAAACAGGATGCAGAGCATTATCTTTGTGGACTATGTGATGCAACTGACCATGATGTCCCCTGAGACTATGGTGTCCCTTGAGACTATGGTCCTGAGCCCCCAGGACCAGTAACTCATTATCTTAAGATGTTTGATAATATCTAAGATGTTTATTTCCTGGCAGAAATAAAGCTGAGTTAAATTACTGTTTTCCTTTTATCTAAGAAAAGAGCTATAAAGACTGAGTTTTTATAAGTTCTCAATTAAATGCCAATGCTGTTTGGATCATTAATGTAAAATGTAGCTAGTTAAAGAAATATCTATGGCTTAGATGACCTGTTGTTGTTGGTAAGTGCTGTCAAATCAGTTCCGACTCACAGTGACACTGTATACGGTTTCCAAGAAGCAACTGGTAGATTTGAATTGCTGACGTTGTGGTTCACAGTCCAGTGCTAATCAAGTGCTAATCATATAGCACTACACCAGAAGTCCCTGGATGACCTTGCTGATATTATTAAGTGCTGCTGAGCTGGTTCCGACTTATAGCAACCCTGTATAGGGTTTCCAAGGAGCAGCTGGTGAGCTTGAACTGCTGACTTTGCAGTTCAAACCAACCTTGCAGTCCAGTGCATTAACGCACAGTGCCATACCAGGACTCCTTGAATGCCTTAGAGAACCTAAAATCTGATATAATGATAAGACAGAGTCAACAGCTATGACTCAGTCATGTGATGATCTGGAATAGTTCTGTACTAGGGATGGCTAAGAGTTTTTGTGTGCTCCTATGGAGTCCAGGTATGGCGCTGTGGGTTAATGCACCAGACTGCAAAGCCATTTAAACTGCAAGGTAGGTGGTTCAAGCTCACCAGCGGCTCTTCAGAAACCCTATATAGGGTTGGTATGGGTCGGAACCAACTCGATGGCACTTAACAACAACAACAACACCATTCCTACTCAGGAGTCCTGGTGGGGTGCTGTTGTTTAATGTGCTGGACTGCAAAGTCGGTTTGAGCCACAAGGCTGGCAGTTCAAGCTCACCAGCTGTTCCTCAGAAACCCTCTACAGGGTTGCTATGGGTTAGAACCCAACTCAACGGAACTTAATAGCAATAATAACATAATTTCTGCCCAAAGGAGCTCTGTGACACAACATTTAAGTGCTTAGCTGCTAACTGAAAGATTGGCAGTTAACAACCTAACCAGTGGTTCTACAGAAGAAAGACCTGGCGATTTACTATTTAAAGATTACAGCCAAGAAAAAACATTACAGACAAGTTCTACTCTGTCACACAGGGTCTCTATGAATTGGAAAAAACTCGAGAGCACATTAACAACATCTCTGCCCAATGGACCTGGCTCTAAGTTATCAAGTACATTTATGTTCTTCCAGGTCATTTTCTATCCTCCCCACAAGATGGTCATTCATGTTTTCTAATTCTGAAACTAATTCATTCTTATTTAGAGAATCTTAAAAACACCAAAAAAGAGTAATAAAAAAGGAAAACAAAAGGCTTCGATACTTTTCTTCAAAGAGGCATTGCAGATGTTCTAGGATAGGTTCTTCTCCCTTTTACTTATGGGTACATAATTAGTTTCATATACAAAAAAAATTGCTTACGCTATAAAGTTCTGTTTTATTTTTTAACTTTAAAGTTAGTCAGATTGAAGTAAAAAAAATTTTATATTCTACTACTTCATTTCAAGAAAACCCACAAAGAGGGAAAAACAGCATTTTCTAAAGGACTTACCTTGCCATATCGTCTCTGAAGAGGTCCCACCGTCCAAGACCTGTAGGATAAATTGGCCAAACAGCAGGTCCCCCTTCCCAAAATGTCCAAGCAGGATACATGATATCATGGTACTCTGATGTCTTGAGCAGAAACAGAAAGTTCATTTTAAATCAGTTTCGGGAGACAGTGAGAAGAATCAAACTGCATTCAGATCACCCAATCTGGAGACAGGCCTTGCTCTAGTGTCAAAGGCCTTGCCAAAGATTTATTTTCCCTTGACTGTAAAGTCCAGACACTAAGCATTAAGAGGTAAAAGTGACCATACGTTAAAATGCATGAACTCACTAAACCCTGGAAATTGAAGTCATGGTAAACATCAACGTTTCCAGTTCTCCAAAGTTTGGTTTTTCTAGAAGACACACAACTGTTAGGGTTTTTCCGTTTAAGGAAATAATATACCCAATTTTGAATGATCAAATATCTGTCATCTTTTAATTTCTATTACACTATGAGTTTTTACTGCCTTACCCAATTCTTGGTTACTACCCAGATAGTCTTGTGAGGGAATGAACTAGAAAATATAGTGCAATGGTTAAGAGTGTGGTCTCTGGAGATAGATGATAAGAATCTGAATGCCAATTCTACTTCTTTCCAACTCTGAGTAAGTTACTTAATCTTTCTATGTCTCAGTTTCCTTATCTCTGTAATAAGGGAAATAAGATACTAACAATAATATCTACCTAGTAGATTTGTTATGACTACTAAGTGCATTAATATATATAAAACACTGAGAACAGTACCTGACAATAGTAAGTACTCATTAAGTGTCAGTTACTGTTATCTGCAGTTTATCACTGTGGCACCATTGAGTCCACATTGTTATTGTTAAGTGTTGTCAAGTCCATGCTGACTCATAGCAAAACCTGGTGGGTATGACCCACCAGCCTTTCAGTTAGTCAGGTACTTTTCCTACAACACTCATACCGGGACTCCACATTAGTTGGTCAAAAAATTCTTGTTTATTCATTGATCAGGCAAGAAGCACCCATGGATAGAATTAACAGAAAAGATGTTATTCCCATATTAAAATTTTAAAAAAATCATTTTAAAGCCACTTTATTCTCTCTTCATAGTTACTTCTGTTAAAACTTTGCATACTTAAAAAAAACCAAAAAACTTTTATGCACTTATAAACCTCTAATCCCACTGTTTCTTCCACTGAAATCGCATGTCACTATGCTGTTTGCCTTTTCTCATGTACATGAAAAATGATAATTGATTTAACAAGGATATCATGAATGATAACTGCTCAATAAAAGCTACACCAGTCAAATCAAACTCACTGTCACCGAGTCATATCTGATCAACAGTGACACTGTGTAGGGTTCCCAAGGATGTAAATCTTTACAGGAGCAGAAAGTATCACCTTTCTCCTGAAGAGTAGTTGATGGGTTTGAACTGCTGACCTTGCAGCTAGCAGTCCAATGCCTATCTACAGCACCACCAGAATTCCTTAGCAGCTGGACAATTAACTATAAAGTTCACAGACTAAAATCCCTGCCTTGGAAACTAGGAGTCACTGATTTAAAAAAGAAATAAATATTAAAAGGAAGTTAGTATACTAATGGTCACATATGATTATCAACAGATACAACAAATAACAAACATATATGTCCTTACTGACTTACATGGGAGCCTCTATCTGTTCTTCTGGGAGAGTTTCACCACAAACAATGGGACCAAGCACTTTTGAAAAATGAGGCTAAACCTTGGGAAATGCAACACAAATGTGGCCTCAGCCCACTTGCAACACAGGAAAGAAACAAGTCTAGAGAGAAAGTAAACTGTGATAAAGAATAGGCGGGGAAAAACAGCCCCTCTGCATTGGAGAAAGGAGATCAGAGAGGCTGTTTCTTTCCCCAAGTCCATGGGTGCTTCCTAACCCCATTCATCCCCATAGAATCTTCCATCCCACTGTCTTCTAGCTCCCTTTCATACCCTTCAAAGCCACTCAGGTCAATGTATCGTTTGCATGAACCTGAACAATAAGGAGCTCTCCAGGTCCTCAAATGTGTCCTGGCCATGCCACCTTTCCATATCAGCCCTTCACAGTTTCCCCTCAGATATTCCAAGCCTATCCCCCTCAGTGTATTGCTTGGACACAAACTGGGGAATTATTTGGTACGTTTGGGTCACCATTAGTCATGCTGGTTTCCTGGGACACAATGAAACAGAACAGATAATGCCCAGCAATATGGCTGCTGTATTCCTTGTAGGAGTTCAACAAATAGTTTTTGAATATAGTGTTCTTTAACTTCAAGCCCATGAGCTTTCTTGGAATCCTATCTCCCATGCTCTGCAGCATCTCTGAGTCCCACCTTCCTATAAGTTCCTCAGGCTCTTCACTCTGCATCTGCAGCCCTACAAACACTTAGAAATCTTACACTTCTTTCAGGCCCTCGGCAACTCCTCAGTCCTACTGTTCAATCACTGTGAAGCTACCAGGGACACAGATCCATTCCCAGACTTCACCATTACACATCTGACTCTGTCATAGCATGAAGCTCCCTTACTCGTACCCTACAGACTATTCCCCACCACTGCCACTTCATCCTGCTCCTACCCCCCACATGTAGGCTCTCCCTGTACTTACCTTGCTGAAGGAGAAGACGGGAATGGTGGGCTCCATCCATTTAGGAACCTGAGGGTAATCTCGTACGTTGATCACCATTTCCATGTCAGGGAGGCGCCCAATCACCTCCAAAATAAAATGTTCAACACCACTACACCTGCCAACCAGAAATGCCACAAATGCATCATAGTGGTGTCTTTGCACATGACCAGACAGGCTCCCACACACTCTTTTAAAGTACAAGCCAGTAGATGGCAAACTGTCCTGAAAGCAATGCTTTCAACAGACCTATTCTATGTTTTTTTGTGTGTGGGTATGTATAAGTTATATTAACTTACAATACTTAATAAGATTTTCCAAATCATTTATAATAAGTTTGGAAGGAATAGTTTTGCTACTCCTACCATGCCTTCTCCGTTACCTATTCTCAGTTTTCCTTTAGTTCACTTAAATGGAAGATTGCAATTAGTAAGAAAATACAAATTCAAATAGGGACTGGAAAAGCTAATATCTAATTTGCTTCTCATAAAAACACTATTTTTATTGCCACCATAATTAAGTCTCAAAAACCTTCCATCACTTTTAACTGAGTTCAGGACACTGTGAAAATTAGTTTTGCAAGCCAGAAAAAGAAAGGTTTCTGACTAGCTACCCCAGGAAACCTCAGATGATTGCTTAAAAGAGAGAAGACACTAGCAGCTTGGCTTGTTTGTGCCCCATTCTTTGAAGTCCTGACCAGCACAATATAAAGGCAGCATTCCAACACATGACCTAAATTTTCTGGCAGCATGGAAACGAATGATTTAAAATCCTGTTTTATTCACAGGGAGATAACTGAAAAAATGGTTTATAAGCACATAAGCATACGCAACTGTACTACTAATCAAGAACTGCCAAGGAGACTTAGCTGCTACTTCTCACCGATCAGATTGGTAGAGAGTAAAAACTTGGATAGTACACAGTGCTGGTGAGGGTGTGGGATCTACTCTAAACGTGGAGTGTAAACGGTGGAAGTGCAAAGAGGCATAACCTCTTTGGAGGGCAATTTGCTTCTATTTATTAAGATTTAAAAAGCACATCAAAGGGCTTATTTATTCAACACCTAAAAATATAGCTTACATATGAGGGGTCTTCAAAATATTAGTGATAAAGTGGAAATGAAAACTAATGGGATTTTCCCACAGACCTGTTGAAGCCTCCTTGTATATATTTACAAAAGTGCTCAGAGGTGTACATACAAGATGTTCATTAAAGAAAGGAGACTGGTTAGGAATTATGTAAATGCTCATTGACAGAGGTCTGAATAGAAACAAAATATTCAAACAATGGACTAGTAAGCAGCCATAAAAGAGTAAATTGGCTCCATATGTACTCTTAGGAAACACTGTTTCCTAAGAATTCAATATACTGCTATATGAAGTCCTGGTGTGGCACTGTTGAATGAACATTGGACTGCAAGTTCAAATCTACCAGCCACTCCTCGGAAACCCTATACAACAGGGTCGCTACGAATCAGAACCAACTTGACATATCTTAACAACATACTGCTATATGGAAAAGAAAAGTAAATTGCACAACAGAAGATACAGTAAGATCTCATTTGTAGAATAATCTAGATGCTGGATTCTGTCTAGACTATTTCTGTAACATATAGATGATACCACCTTGCTTGTTGAAAGTGAAGAGGACTTGAAGCACTTACTCATAAAAATCAAAGACTACAGCTTTCAGTATGGATTTTGCTTCAACATAAAAAAAACAAAAATCCTCAAAAACTGGATCCATAAGTAATATCATGATAAACTGAGAACAGATTGAACTTATCAAGGATTTCATTTTACTTGAATGCACAATCAACACGTATGAAAGCAGCAGTCAAGAAATCCAATGACATACTGCGCTGGGCAAATCTACTGTAAAAGACCTCTTCAAAAGTTTTAAAAGAGCAAAGATGTCACTTTGAGAACTATGGTGTTTCTGATACAAGCTATGGTATTTTCAATTGCCCCATATGTATGTGAAAGCCTAAGGAAGGCCAAAGAAGAACTGGCACCTTTGAATTATGGTGCTGGCAAAGATACCAAATGTACTGATATGAACTGCCATGGCTGAAACAATGGGCTCAAACATAGTAAAGACTGTGTGGAACGAATAGGACTGGACAGTGTTTCCAAGTATTGTACACAGGATCACTATGAGTCAGAACTGAATCCACAGCACCTCCAAAAACAATTTCTGGAAGGATATACAAGAAACTTACGATCACAGGTATCTCTAGAGAGGAGGACACAGGGGCTAAAGGTTTAGAGTCTAAGGGGGTAGAGAAATGTCCTTTTCATTGTATATCTTTTTGAGTTGACCAAATGATTTCCCTTGCACATATAATACAATTTTCATAATAAAATAAAAGCATAAAGGGTTTTTTAAAAGCCATTATTACAATACATTTGCACATTGAGAGCTAAAATCCTTATTTTCTTTCACATTTGACTTTTAAAATAGCACTTTCTCATATACCATAATTCCATTTATATAAAAGCCTAGAAAATAATCTATAATGAGGGAACATAGACCAAAGAGTGTCTAGAGAGTGAGAGAGAGATGGAAGGGAGGTATTGATCACAGAGGCACAAGAGGAATAAGGATATTTTGGGAGGGATGAATATATTCATTATCTTGGTATATGTCAAAACTAGGTGCCGTGGTGACAAGGTGGCTAAGCACTCCATGAAACTATCTGTAGGAGAAAGATGTGGCAGTCTGCTTCCCCATAAAGATTTACAGCCTGTGACCCTATGGGGGCAGTTCTACTAGGCCCTATCGGGTTAGTATGAGTTGGAATCAACTTGACAGCAACAGATTTGATTCTGTTTGATTTGGTTATATCAAACTATATCAAATTGCACACCTTAAATATTTGCAGTTTATTTTATGCCAGTCATACCTCAGTAAACTTGTTATACCACTACTCTCTTTTTAAATGATTTCTTTTTATGTTTTTTATTAAATGGTCCTCTGGTTTCTCATCCCACACATTTGTCACTTGGTCATACTGCAGTGACTTGTGTGCTGTGATACTAAAAATTATGCCACTGGTGCTTCAAATACAAGCAAGGTCATCCATGGTAGACAGGTTTCAGCAGAGCTTCCAGCCTAAGAAGAGACTAGGAAGAAGGGCTAGGCAGTCTACACCTGAGAGATTGGCCACTGAAAACCTAATGAATAGCAGCGAAACACTGTCTGGAAATATAGTACCAGAATATTAGCACTTTAGGTTGGAAGGTACTCCAAACATGACTGAGGAAGAGCTGCCTCCTCAAAGTAGACTCAACCTTAATAATGTGGATGGAGCAAAGCTTTCTGGACCTTCATGTGCTGATGGGACCTAACTCAAAATGAAAAGAAACAGCTGCAAACATTCATTAACAAATACATGTAAAGTACTAAATACGAATTTAGGAAAATTGGAAGTAATCAAAAATTAAATGGAATGCATAAAGATCAATATCCTAGGTGCTGAAAAGGACAGGTACTGGCCATTCTGAATTGGACAATCAGGTGGCTAACTATGCTGGGAATGACAAATTCACAAGAAATTGAATCACATTAATTGTCAAAAAGAACATTTCACAATCTATCTGGAAACTCAGGGACGGAGAGGGGCTGTGTACTGGCAACTGAGGGACAGGCGTGTGGGGTGTACCCTTTGGTTGTTTGATGATGCATTCAGAGGATTCTAATCATTGCAAAGATATAAAATACGATAGGATGAATGTAAAGATAATGTTCTCCCATATAAACTAACACAATAAAAACTAAAAAAAAAAAGATCTGGAAGTACAAAGCTGTCTGTGATAGGCTATCTATATGCCTACAGGAAGACCAGTTAATATAAATATTATGCGCATTTACACACCAATCATTAAAGCCTATGATGATGAAATTGAAGAATTCTACCAACTTCTTCAGTCTGAAATTGATCAAACATGCAATCAAGATGCACTGAGAATTACTGGCAATTGGAATGTGAAAGCTGGAAAAAAGAGGAGGGCTCAGTAGTTGGAAAATATGGTCTTGGTGACAATGCATGATAGAATTTTACAAGACCAGTGACTTATTCATTATAAATACCTTTTTAAACAACATAAACTGTGGCTATAACCATTGGCATCATCAGACAACACGCAGGAATCAAATTGACTACATCTGTAAGAAGAGATGATGGAGAAGTTCAATATCATCTGCAAAAATAAAACCAGATGATGACTGTGGAACAGACCATCAATTGCTCAGATGTAATGGACTGAAGCTGAAGAAAATTAAAAAAAGTCCATGGGAGTCAAATACGACCTTGAGTATATCCCACTTGCATTTAGGACCATTTCAAAAATAGATTTTATGCATTGAACACTAATGACTGGAGAAGAATTGTGGGATGACATCAGGACTATTATCCATGAAGAAAGCAAAAGGTCATTAAAAATACAGGAAAAGAATAGACCAAAGTGGATATCAGAAGACACTCTCAAACTTGCTCTTAAAAGCAGAGTGGCTAAAGTGAAAGAAAGAAATAAGGCAGAAAAAGAGCTGAAGAGAAAATTTCAAAAGACAGTCAAGGATTATAATGAAGTATACAAAGACATGGAGTAAGAAAACGAAAAGGGAAGAGCACATTCAACATATCTCACGTTAAAAGAACTGAGGAAAGAAATTCAAGCCTGGACTTGTAATACTGAAGGAGTCTATGGGCAAAAATATTGAATGATGCAGGAAAAAGAAGATGGAAGGAATGCACAGAATCACTATACCAAAAAGAACTGGTTGACATTCAACCATTTCAGGAGGTAGTATATGACCAAAAATTAATGGTACTAAAGAAGAGAAGTCCAAGTTACACTGAACACATTAACAAAAAACAAGGTTCCAGGAATTGATGGAATAGCAGCTGCCATGTTTCAACAAACTGAAGCGACACTGTAAATGCTCACTAGTCTATGCCAAGAGATATTTGGAAAAGATCCAGATGTGTGCCCATTCCAAAGAAAGATAATCCAACAGAATGTGGAAACTATCAAACAATACCATTAATATCAAATGCAAGTAAAGTTTTTTTGCTAATAACTCAAAAACGGTTGTAGCAGTAGGCTGACAGGGAGGGAGCTGCCAGAAATTCAAGCTGGATTCAGAAGAGGACTTGGAAC